TTTTTTTTTTTTTTTTTTTTCTTTTGTGTGTAATTCTTTAACAACCTTTTATTAACCTATGAAAATTTTTTACTAGTTCTCATTTTATTATTTTAATTTAAAAAAAAATAAAAAAAAAAAAAAAACAGAAAAGATATAAAAATAGGATTTGGAAAAAAAAAAAAATAAAAAAATAGTATGTGAAAAGTATCTTTAATATATTGATATTTTCAATTAAGAATTAATTCCCTTTTTTATCCTTTTTTTTTTTTTTTTTTTTTTTCCCTATTATATTATTCTAGTTTTTATTAAAATATTAATATAAATATGATGATATTTTAACTAAGTATGTACACCATCACTAAATTGTGTTATTTCTAACAAATTCCCAATTATATATTAAAATTATTATCTTTAATTTTTTTTTAAATTGAAAAAAATTTTATATTATATTTATAACTTTTAAGATATATGTTTTTTGTTTATTTTATTTATTTATTTTTTTTTTTTTTTTGTAAAATTAGTATTAATTTTTATAACTTGTATTTCATATATTGTAATCTTTTTTCTTTTTTTTTTTTTTTTTTTTTTTTTTTTTTACATAATTAGGATTCAATTAATTGTTGTTAATTTCTGTTAATATAAAAAACGTTAAAACAAAAATGAGACATGAATTAAGTTCTATATTTCAATCTAAAAATTTAGATGAACAATCTTTTAAACAAAATAATGATTATTTAAATAACAAGTAAACATAGAAATATAATATCATTAAAAAATAAGTTTTAACATAAGATTAATAAATATATAAATTTATTATTACTATCCATATACTAAAAAAAAGTTTTTCTTGTCGTAAAAATTAAAAAGTGTTGTAAAATAATTAATATTTTACTATATATATATGTATATATTTTTTTTCTTTTTTATTGAAGTGAAGCATTAGAAAGTTATCTAAATTTTTATTCATCACCAGGTTTTTATGTTGAACCGGTAAATTTTGAATTAAATCCTTTAAATGTTGTTGATATAAATAACTTACTTGGTGATACTGAACAAAATGTTTTTAACAATGTTGATTTAAAAAATTTAGACACATTAGAGTAATAATTTTTAAGTAAAATACCTTTTATTATTAAATCTTTTTATATATAGTGTTTTTTTTTTTTTTTTTTTTTTTTTTTTTTCGTTATAGAAATAACACAAATGCTTTAAATACCAGTGCAACTGATTTTAAAGAATATAAGTATTAATTTTATATTTTTATTATTTTTTTTTTTTTTAATTTTTTTTTATATATAATTTCTTTCTTTTTTTAAGAAATGACAATATAAATATTACATCTGAAAATGTGTGTGATTTTGAAAAAGATTTCAAGTAATATTATTTTAATCATTTTATTTTTTTATTTTTATTTTTTTTTTAAATACAAATAATTTAATAATATATTGTTAGTTTAAGGCAAAATGTTGAGTATTTTGAAATTGAAAAAAATAATAATCTAGAAGTTGAAAATGAAACTAAAAATGCAATAATAGAAGATGAAGAAAATCTTGAAATTAAAGAAAACGAATTAAACCACCAAAATTATTTTAAGTAAAAATATTAATATAACTTTTTTTTTTTTTTTTTCCATAAAAAAAATAAATAATTTTTACTTAAAATATCTAGCCTTATAAATGAAGATAAAAATAAAAAAGATAATTTCGAATTAAATGAGTCAAATATACTTCCTTTAAGTTACACAAGTTTAATTAAAAAAAAGAAAAAAAATTCTCTAAATTTTATATAAATTTAAATTATATAATTAATAAAAGTGTTGATATTTACCTTGTCTTATGTTAAATATATATTTTCTTTTTTTTTTTTTTTTAATTTTTAACTATTAGACGAAAACGAAATGATGTACAATGAATGTGCTTTAACAAATGATTTCTTTGAAACAATTGAAAATATAAACACAAAGGTGTTTGAAAAATACAATAATTTAAAAGATATGACTGAAAATTTAATAGATATTATAAACAAATCAGAATTTGAAAAAAGGATAAATAATCTACTAGATTTAAGTGATAATAATTCAGAATTGATTGATAAATTTAAAAAAAAAAGTGAAGATTGCATTCGTCAATGTCGCAAATTTGAAACAACCTCTGAAAGTGTATTAAAATTATTATATGAAAATATATAATTTTTTTCTAATTTTCATTTATTTTTAATATATATATATATATCTTTTGAAGTATTTTAATGATTTAAATGTACATTTATAATTTTAATTATATATCTAATTATTTCTTATATTTTTATAAATGATAATATAATACCAAGTAAATATTTATTCTTTTATGTTATTTCTTTTGTTTTTTTTTTTTTTTTAGTTAATTGGTGAATGTGTTAATACATTAGCTCAGACGAGCATTTGTTATGCTGAATGGGTTTGTTTACATTCCTTTGAAATGGATTCAATTGATAATGACTTAAAAGAAATACAATTATTTATTGAAACTAGTCAATAATAAATCAAATTTAAAAAAAAATTTTAATTTTTTTTTTTATAACTTAAATTTTTATTTATATAATTTTAATTTTTTTTTTTTATAACTTAAATTTTTATTTATATAATTATAATTTTTTTTTTTTTTTTTTTTTTTTTTTTTTTTTTTATAATGATAATATATAAATATATAAATATATATATAAATATATTTTTTTGAAAAATTGAAAATTTGAATGTTTTTTACATAAAGAGAAAATTAGGATATCTTGGAAATGTAACAATGTCTTTTATATTATTAATTGATGAAATAAACATAATTAATCTATCTATACCTAAACCAAATCCAGAATGAGGAATATTACCATATTTTCTTAGTTGTATATATGGTTCATATAAGTTTACATCTAATTTTTGATTGTTCATTTTTTTCTTTAAAGTATCTAGATGAATTTCTCTTTCAGATCCTCCTACAATTTCTCCTATATCTGGAAATATTATATCCATACATGATACAGTTTTTTTATCTGCATTTAACTTCATATAAAATGGTTTAATATTATCAGGGTAATTTATTATAACAACAGGAGATTTAAAATAGTCATTAGTTAGAAATTTTTGTTGTTCGAAAGATAAATCTATACCCCATGATAAGTCAGAAGAAATGTTTTTTTCTTTTAACAAATGAACAACTTCATCATAAGTTATTATCATAAACTTCTGGTTTAGAACGTTTTCTAACTTTTTTTTTAAATTTTTGTCATGATTTTCATATAAATATTCAATTTCTTCTGATTTGTATAATGCAAATTTAATCATTTCTTTTATATAATCTTCCGATAGTGAAATAATATCATTCAAATTAGAAAAAGGAATTTCAACTTCTAACATAAGAAATTCACTTAAATGTCTGAACGTATTGGATTTTTCTGCTCTAAAGGACTGATTAATTGTAAAAACATCACCAATAGAACAACATAAACATTCTAATGCCAATTGACTTGAAACATTTAAATAACATGGTTTTTTAAAAAAATCTTTTTGGTATATATCTTTTTCATTAAAATTATTTTCATTAAAATTATTTTTATTAAAGTTATTTTTATTATTTATATTAGTATTGTTAGCATTTGTTTTATTTTCATTCTCTTTATTAAACAAGGTGGTTGCATAAAATAATTTCCCTGCTCCTTCACAATCAATACTTGTTAAAATAGGAGTATTAATATAAGTAAAATTTTTTTTTCTAAAATAATTGAAAGTTTCATAAATTATATCAGATTTTAATCGAAATATACTACTGTACAATTTTGTTCTCCCTCTTAAATGTGGAAAATTTCTCAAATATTGTTTTGTATGATATTTTTTAGATATCATATAATACTCATCTTTGTTTTTATCATTTTTAACTATATTCTCTTTTTTATCATTCTCTTTCATATTTTTAATATCTTTATTCATAATAAAGTTATTATTATCGCTATTTCTAACATTGGAATATGTATGATCGTTATTTTCCTTTTTATTATAATTATTCTCATTTATATCATTTATAGATTTAAATAATTTTACATAATGATTCTTTGATACATCATAAACACATAATTCTATTTTCTGATTTTTTCCAATTGAAGATTTTAATTCTCCTACACATTCTATTGAATCATCAGTTGTTGTTTTTAAAATCTCATCATAATTTAAAATATTTGCGTCAATTATTACTTGTAAATTCTTAAAATAAGAACCATCATTTATATCAATAAAAAGAAAACAATTTTTTCCTACAGTTCTAACTGATTTAATCCATCCACATATTTTAAAATTTTTTTTTGATTCACTTTTTATATCTATTTTAAATATATCTCTTATTTTTGTTCTTTCAACTATAAAATTTTAGGAAGTAAATAAAAAAGTTCAAGTAATAAAAAAAAAAAATTAGTTAAATTAATTTTAAGTTGCACATAAATATATATATATATATATACACATTCTATACATAAAAAAAAAAATTAATTTCCTTTTTAATTTTGTGAAATCAAATAATTTTTTTTTTTTTTCTTTTTTTTTTTTTACTATCTCTTAATGAACATAAAAGATTCTTCAATTTAGGTTTATTAAAGGTAAAGTTATTTTTTATACTTCTTTTAGAAAAAGAAAGCATTTGAATATTATTTTTTAAAAAGGATATAGTGTTTATAATTTTCCTATTACATTTCCATTCGTTCAATAAAATATTATTTTTCTTCAATCTGTTAATAGATCTATTTTTTATATTTATTTTTTTTTTTTTAATACATTTAACAAATAAAAGTAAAAATATAAATAAATGAACTAAATTAATAAAATGGATTCTCATTAAAAAAGTGTCATAATTAAAAAAAAAATATTACAAAAAATTAAATGCTTTATCCTTCTTTTTACTACTTTTCTCATAATATATCTTTATATATTTATGGATTGATATGAAGAAAAATATAATAAATAAAAAAATAATTTATCAATTTTTTTTGTTTAAAAATAATATGTCTCTTGGTATTATAAATTAATTTATTAATTATTAAATGAAAAAGTAGATAAATGAAATTAACNNAAAAAAAAAAAAAAAAAAAAAAAAAAAATTAAATATTTTATCTGAAAAAAATGAAAATTATATTCTTAATAAAAAGGCTTTTTTTTCCTCCCCTCAACAGATTATTAATCAAAATAGATAACAACAAATGAAAATGCAAAAAAAAAAAAAAAAAAATGTTGACATATTATTTATATACACTATTAAAAAAAAATTTATAATTTTGAAAGAATATAAAAAAAAAAAAAAATACAAAAAAAAGGATAAAAAAAAAAAAAAAAAAAAAAAAATTTATAAAATAAATATAAATATTACGAAACAAAATTATCAGACTTAGAATATGGCGAAAAAACACGATAAATTTTTTTAGAAAGGGCTTTACCTAATTTTCTTTCTCCATATGAAGAATTTATTATTATATCTTTTAAACATTCTTCATCATTTATTTTTTTAAAGTGCCTAATCAAATCAAAAGGAGTTTTAAAAACTTCAGCTATTTTTTTAGAAATATCTTCAGATATACCACTAATTTGCATTAGTTGAGAAATCCAAGTAGAATAATTTTTGTTTTCATTTGTATTGGAATTTGTTAATTGGTTTAAACTTAATGGTTTAACTTTGAAATAAGAGTTAGGTTTTCTAATTTTTGATTGATATAAATATTTGCAACATTTAAAAATATATTTATTTAAATGAGTTATGTTATCTAATTCTACCGAATCAATATGATAGCGTACTAATAATGCTGCAATGAAACTATCAAAATCTTTATTATTAATTATAATATTTTCATTTTTGTTTATATTTTCAAATTTATAATTTTCTTTTATGTTAGTTCTATCTAAAATTTCTCTTATTCCTATAAATATGCACATAATTCTAACATTTTTATATTCTTTTTGTAACTTCTCAACTTTATGAAATATATTTTTTTCTTTATCATACTGATACTCTAAATAATTTTCTTCAATTATTATTAAAATTAAAGAGAGAACATATTTTTCATCAATTTTAGTATCTTCATAATAGCTGGTATCACTTTCTTCGTGTAATGAAATTTTCTCACTTTTTTTTTCATTAATCAAAGTAAAGTGTGATTTATAAGAAAAATTTGTATATATAAAACATACACTATCAAAATGTATTGAAGGTTCTTGTATTTCTTTACTATCATAATTTAACATATTACTATAATTTGTATCATTTTTATCATTCTCTTCTTCATTTTTTAAAAAAGATTTTAAAATTTCATAATGTGTACTTAATTTTAAATCATTGCTAAATATTATTTTAATTTCATCCATTTCCAAAAATTTTTTTTTTTTTTTAATCCCTTTTATATATATATATATAAATTTAACTTTTTTTATTTTTATTGAAAGGACAGATTTATGTTTTTTATATATTTTTATTTAGTCAATTATTCATTTTAAATTCAACTTTTTTTTAAATAAAACATAATGTAAAACAACTGTAAAACTTAATAATTTTAACTTGATAAATTTTTATTATAAAACTAGAAAAGGAAATTAAAATAATATAACCAACATAATAATAATATGCTCATTCATCAATAATACCACATTTAACAAGCATTTTTAATATAAATAAAATAGTTGCATTTAAAAAAAAATAAATAATTTTTATTAATGATACTTTCGTATTAAATTTTAGAAATATTACTTTTTATATGATTAATTTTATTAAAATATTCAATTATATTTATTTTATCCTTTTTTATTATTGTTATTTATATTTTTTTTTTTTTTATTTTTCTGTTTTTTTTTTTATTACTTATAAAACTTTATGAAAAATTATTATTTCTTACAATAATAAAAAAAGATAAATAATATAAAGTACATATTTTCTTATTTTTGTATATAACCTTAAATTTTAAACTGATAGTTATTTAATTTACATTTTTCTTTCAAAAATATTAGTTAGTATATTTTGTTTTTTTTTTTAAATAATGATATAAAATATTTGACATATTGTATTTTTCTGTTGTCTTTTATTATTTATTTAATAATCTATCTCAAAAAAAAAAAAAAAAAAAAAAAAAAAAGAAAAATAAAATAATAAAATATATGTTTATATTATTGTAATTAAGTTGAAAATAATAAAATATATGTTTATATTATTGTAATTAAGTTGAAAATAATAAAATATATGTTTTTTTTATTGTAATTAAGTTGAAAATAATAAAATATATGTTTTTTTTTATTGTAATTAAGTTGAAATTAAAAAAAAATAAAGTTACTAATATATATTTTTTTGTTTTCATTTAATATATTTTACGATATAAATTTCATTCTTGAAAATATCTATAGATTAAAAAGAATAACTTAATTTATAAATGCATATAATTAAAAAGAAAAACTTCGTATATTTTAATTCTACAAAGATGAAAATTTGTCATTAAAGATAATACTATTTATAAGAGTATTTCTATAATATTTTTTTTAAAAAAAAATTGATTTTTTCTATTTACTAATTTTCGCATTTAATCTTGAATCAGATTAATAAAAAAAAGAAATAATGAAAAAAAATTAATTTTAAATAGTTATAATTTTATTATAAAGAAAATAATTTTTTTACTTAAATTATTTTTATGATTTAATACTTCTTTCTTTTTTTAATAATTGAAAAAAAAAAAAAGAAACCTTAAAAATTTATAGAAACTTACGAGTTATGAAAAAAAAAAAAAAAAAATTTAAATCTTAATTATAAAACAAATATAATACGTTTTGACTTAACTTTTTTTTTTTTTTTTATACATAATTATAGTTCTTTAAGGGCATCTAAGGAAAAAAAAAAAAAAAAAAAGTTTAATGAATAATTTGAATATATTTTTTGTTTTTTCCTACTTTTTTAATTGCTTTTAAAAATTTATAAATTCACATTTTATACATAAAAATATTATATGTTAAATAAATGTATTAAGCTATTTTAGTTATTTTTTTTTATTTATTTTTTTTTTTTTTAATATATTACAACATTATTCATAGGTTCAATTTGTTTATTATACATTTTGTTAATGTTATATAATTTTTTTTTTTTTATATTTATTCATTTTATATGCATAAATGAAAAGAATATTATTTTATTTACATGATTAATTTGTTTATTATTTATTTATTTTATTTTATTTTTTTTTTTTTTTTTATTAATTTTATGAATAAATAAGAACATTACATTTGCTGTAGGATCTGCTATTTAATATTATATTTTTAATATATAATTTTATATTATATATTGTACGACATTTTGTTAATTTTTTTTTTTTTTTTTTTTTTTTTTTTTTTATAATTTATGCAAAAGTAAAAGAATTGTCAAGATGAAATAATAAAAAAAAAAAGAAGAAAAAAAAAAAAATTATAAAGAAAAAAAATAAAATAATATATTTTAATGTGTTTCTTTTAAGATGTATGATATAAATAATGCAAGATGTGTTGAAATAAAAAGCGCAGAATTAGATGTATTAAATAGTGATGAATTAAAAAGGATTTCTCTTGGTAAATATGAAAATGAGCATTATGAATTTGAAAAAGTACAAAAAAGTGGAGTAACAACGAAACTTTACTATGATCCTAGATATGGGACAATTGATAATAAACAAATTTGTTCTGTTTGTTTTGAGAGGCATGAAAATTGTTTTGGTCATGTTGGCCATTTAGAATTTGTTTTACCTTTATTTAATCCTTTATTTTATAAAGAATTGCAAGAATTATTAAATTTAGTATGTTATAATTGCTATAACTTTTGTTGTTCTGAAGATGTAATATTTTTATTAAAACAGGTTTTTCAATTAAAAACACTCAATGAAATAGAAAGTACCAATAAACTTATTTATAAAGAAAACTGTGATTATGAATATTTAATTAGTGAAATAGAAAAATTATATAAAAAAATATGTAAAGATTCGGATATTTCTCTGGAAGACATAATCGAATCTATTAGTGATGAAGATGAAAGTAATACAGATAATAATTTGCATAATAATGACAATGATAATTTAACTACAAAAGGAAAAGAAAAAAATTACTTAGAAGAATTATCAGAAATAGACAACAAAGAAAATAACAAATTAAAAGAAAAAATTAACAAATATAAATTTGATGCTAATAAATTAGCTTATCAATCAAATTATAATTATGAAGAATATCTTATATTAAGTAAAACGATCAAAATGCATATGAAAAAAAGTAGTAAATGCTATTATTGTAAATTTCACAGAAATATATCAGCAAAAATATCGCAAAAGAGAGATACCATCAATTTTGTAGGAATTTATACAAAAAACTCTTTTTTTAAGAAATATTTTCCAAAAATGAAAAAAAAAGATGATGACAGTTTTGATATAAATGAATATGATGAGTTAAATTATGAAAGTGAAAATGAAGAAAAAAAAAAAAAAAGAAAGTTGGATGAAAGTGATCATTTTGTGGATATTAATGAAAAATATACCAATAATTTCAAAGATTATACATTTAATGAAAAAATGAAGAAAGAAATGAATTCTGATTCATCTATTGAACATTCTTTGAATAACAATGATAATAATATTTATGGAAATATTGATAATAATTTAAATGAAAGAAATACTTCATTTTCAGAAATGCTTGATAATTATAAAAAGCAAAATATAAAAGAAAAATGCACTATTCGTTTATTTAGTTTTCAAGTAATAGATATACTGAAAAAAATATTTGTAAAAAACAATAAAGAAATTATAGATTTGTTGTATCCTTTTACAAAAAAAGATGGTTATAAAATATTTTTTTTATATGACATGGGAATAAGTGCAAACAGATTTAGAAGTAGATATAGAGGTATGCATAAAAGAACAAAAATGGCTGGTACTTTATGTAAAATTAATAATTTTTTAAACTTATGTTTAAATGCAAAAAAAGAAATAGACTTTGATTCTTTATTAGAACATAATAAAAAGGAATTAACTTTATATAAACAAATGTTTTCTTTACTTTCATTAAAAATTAGATACAAATTAAATAATAATATAATGGATGATGATACTGAAATAACAAAAATGGAATTTTTAAAATGTTATTCATTGGTGTATCATAATAAAAGTACTTATATAAATATTCTTTTTAGTAGTTTACAAATAGGAGTAAATACTTTTTATGATAGCAATCTTGCAGACAAAATAAATAATAGGAATATGACAAATATTGGCATACGAGAAATTTTAGATAAAAAAGAAGGTATTTTAAGAAAAAATATTATGGGAAAAAGAGTAAATCATTGTGCTCGAACAGTTATTTCACCAGATACGTTTATTGAGACAAATCAAGTTGGAATGCCATTAGAATTTGCTAAAGTATTAACTGTTGATGAATATGTGACGCATCATAATTTAGAATATATAAAAAAGTTAATAGAAAATGGTCCACATATATATCCAGGTGCAATTAGTTATAAAGATTCTAAAGGAAGAGTATTTAAAATATCTCATGATTATGAACAGAGATTAAAATTATTAAAGCAGTTAGATAACATTAATTTTAGAAATGAAAACTGTTATATTGTTCATAGACATGCACGTGATGGAGATATAGTAATAATGAATAGGCAACCTACTTTACATAAATTTTCTATAATGGCTCATTATATAAAAATATTTGAAAAAGAAAAAATTTTCCGATTAAATTACGTTAACTGTAGTTCATATAATGCAGATTTTGATGGTGACGAAATGAATATGCATTTGCTACAAACCCCATTAGCTAGAGCGGAAGCTAGCCATTTAATGAATTGCGATTTTCTATTTACTAGTTTTAAAGATGGATCTCCACTAAGAGGGTTAGCACAAGATTTTATCTTAGGAGGTTTACATCTGACTTCATTGGAAACCTTTTTGAATTATGATGAATACTGTAATTTGTTGCAATGTTCTTTAAATTGTTTAATTTCTCAGAAAAATTCTTTCTTCTTTAAAAAAAAAAAAAACATGCACAAAATAGATGATACTACTACTACTACTAATAATAATAATAATAATAATAATCAAAATACTCCATACAATAATAAACAAAACTTCAATTCTTTTAGTGGTAATAATGTAAAAATAACCAATTACAATTATTTAGATCCATATGCAAATATTTTAAATCAAATAAATTTTAGCATAGTTACTGATGAACCAGCAATACTTTTTCCAAAAAAAATATGGACAGGCAAGCAATTAATAACAAGTATTTTAAAAACGATTATTGATAAGGTAGCTGTAGAGACTTTTAACAAAAATAATGATAATGAATTTATGAAAAATTATAAAGGAATAAATTATACATCAAAAGCAAAAACTTCAGCAGAGTTGTGGTCTTTTGATCCTGTTAAAGAATGTGAAGTCATTATTAAAAATTCTGAATTGTTACAAGGAATTCTTGATAAGTTTCATTTTGGTGCAAGTTCAAATAGTCTTATTCATTTGTGCTTTGAGTTATTTGGACCTAAAACTGCTGGTGTTTTGTTGGATTGTTTTGGTCGTTTGTTTATAAGTTTTTTACAACTTCGTGGATCTAGTTTAAGTCTTTATGATTTTATTTTAAACAAAGATGCTAAAAGAGAAAAATCCTTAATAAAAAAAAGAATTTCCTTCACTGGATTTTATTTACAAAACCTTTTTGTTCATTCTATTGCAAAATCGTTAAATGCAGATATTAATGATATGAATTCTTATGCGAAGAGAAAAAAGGAATGTAATAATGAAAAAAATGACATAATTATTAACAAAATGTATGACTCATATAAGAAAAAAGAAGAAATTATAAGTTATTTTGAACAAAAAAAAGGAAAACAGTTGAAATTAAGTAGTAATTCAAATAAATATATGAAAGAAGAAAAAGAAGCGAATTATTCGAAAAAGAAAAGTGATATTCTAGGTAGTATAAGTAATTATAAAAATATGGATAACATGAAAAAGGAAAAAGAAATGGAATTAAAAAAAAATTATGGAGTTACAGATGATAATATACTAAAAGAAAAATATATAGACCTAAAAGAAGAAAAATATTTCATAGCTTTATTAAATAAAAAAATTGAAGACATTTGTGCACAAAAAATAAAAGAAGAAAAGGGTACATTTTTTATAAATAATGAAAATACTAGTAACTTAGATGATAAAAAAAGAAGAGAAATGGATTCATCTGATAGTGATAATATATTTAAAAGAAATTTTACTTTATATGAAAAGTATATAAATAATAAAGATGATATATATAATTGTAAACAGGATGAAAAAAAAGATTCTATAATTTTAAATACGGTAATACACAAATTGTATAATTCTATTAAGGAGCCTTCATTTTTTAGTAATCCTACATTTACAGGAAAAAAAATTATAAAAATTATTGAGAAAATTCTTGATTTTTTAAAAGAAGCAAAATGCAATAAAAGACTAAAAATATTTATAATATTCGAATTGTTTCAAAATAAAAATATAATGAAATATTTTCCGTCATTGATGAATTATTTACATGACTTTAATTATGATTTAAGTAACGAAGAGATAATAAAAAATGTAGTAAATAATATTTATTTCGAAGAATATTGTCCTACATCCCCTTTTAAAAATCCTATATCATTAAATAAAGATAATATAATAAAAAATAAGGATGAATATAAATTAAATAAATTTATTAATTTTTATGAGAGTAGTATACATAAAAAAGAGGACGATGCTTATACGAAAAAGGAAATTACTAATAGTGTTGATAATATTAGTAATAATGATGATTATGAATTAAATATAAAGGAAATAAGTCTTCATGATAAAAAATTAATAAAAAATTGCTTAATATCAAGTTTTCCATCATTTCTCTTAAATGATGATATATGTAATTTATCATATAACGACAAATATCAATATTTTGAAGAATATTTAAAGGTTAAAGAAGAAAAAGAAGATGGTTATTTTAAATTTTATGATATGAAAGATATTTTTTATAAAATGGAATATCTAATAAATAATTTTTTTTCTTTAAATAGATTTGATTTTGATACTTTAATTGATTCTTTATTTCAACCATATTTATGTAGAGTATCATCTAGTACTGATCATTTGATAAACATGAATAATTTGATTAATAAATTTTTAAATAATGGTTTTAGTAATATGATATTTACAGGTGCAAAAGGAAGCAAAGTCAATTATTCTATGATTTGTGGTATATTAGATCAACAATATTTAGAAGGAAAGAGAGTTCCTAGAATGAAATCAGGAAAAACACTTCCGAGTTTTCATAGGTATGATTATGGTGCTAGATCATGTGGACTAATTACTGATTGCTTTTTAGAAGGATTGAGACCTCAAGAATATTTTTTTCATTGTATGTCAGGAAGAGAAGGATTAATAGATACAGCAGTAAAAACAGCCAAATCTGGTTATATTCAAAGATGCTTAATAAAATGTATGGAATCTGTAGTTTTACATTATGATGGAACGGTTAGAAATGAAGACAATTCAATTATTCAATTTTTATATGGAGAAGATGGTATAGATCCTTCAAAAACAGCTTACTTAGATTCATCAAATGATTTGCTTTATAATTACAATTTATCATTTAGCAAATATTTAAAAAATAATGTTCATGAAAAAATATTAAATAATGAAGATATATTTCAAAATCATATAAGAAAATGGAAAGATGAAGAACCCGTAATTTGCCATTATAATCCATATACTTTTATTGGGAGTGTATCAGATAAATTTAATAAAAAATTAAGTAAAACTTTTTTCAATAATTTTAATTTTCCTAATTATCGTGATTTACCAAAAGATTTTGATACCTTGTCTACATTACTTTTGAAATCAAAATATTTTAATTCTTTATGTAATCCTGGTGAATCCATTGGAATTTTAGTTGCTCAATCTTTTGGTGAACCTGCTACTCAGATGACTCTTAATACATTTCATTTAGCAGGTACAGAAAATGTTACTATGGGTATTCCAAGGTTAAAAGAAATTTTTCTTACTTCAAAATTAACATCTAAACCAATGATATATGTACCAATAAAAATTGAATTGAAAACCAATGACATCAATAAAATGAAATTATATATTACCAACATTGCTGATAAAATATTAAACAGCTATAAAAGTATTTGCTTAAGTGACGTTGTTTATGGTGTTGGAGTAGAAAGAAAATTAATATTAAAAGAAAATAAAAATAATGTCCATTATATTAATGGATCTGAATTTGATGATGAAAAAGTTAGTAGTAATATTGATGTAAATGTACAAGTAGCTAAAATAATGAATGTTCTTAAAAATGTTAACATAAGTTTCGATTGTAAAAAAGAATGGAATTATGAAATTATTATTCAATTTGAAAATCTTTATCATTTTTGTAAGATATACAAACAAATATCTATTCCTTTTATCCTTCATAAAGTTACAAGTGCTATTCTTACTTCTGTTCTTAATAAAATTCAAGAGAGTCTCATATTTCATAACATTAATAGTATTAGCTCATTTAACCATGAATACTATGATGAGTTATATGATTTTATTAGCAAAAAATTAGTTACAGAATTTAATTTTAATGTGGAAAAATATGAATATAAAGATGATGAAGGTCAAATAAATGCGAAATTGAAATATATGGCTAATGAAAATAAAACAGACAAATCGGGTGATAAACAAAATGACGATCAAGATGATGTAAATGAAAATTATAGCAATTTACAAAATAAAAATGCATATAATAATAACGTAGGTGATTCTAGCTATAATGGTAAAAAAAATAAAGAATTTAATGTTCATTCAGATATAGAAGATAATGATATGTCTGAAAAGGAAGAAAATATTTATAAAGGAAAAAAAAAATGGGAAGGAGAAACAGAATCAGAAGCTGAAAAGGAGGAGGAAGAATCGGAATCAGAAGAAGGAAAAGGAGATGAGAATGAATACGATGAAGATGATGTGATTGATAGCGAAGTTGAGAGTGAGAAAGATGAAGATTATAATGAAGAAAATAAAAACAAAGTTGAAAATGAGAAATATGGAAATGATGATGATGATGATGATGACGATGATGAAGATGAAGATGAAGAAAAAGTTGAAGAGGAAAATAAACAGATGAAGGAAAAAGATAATATATTAAATAATAATAATGTATGCAGGTATGAAAAAGATATGTCTAAATTAAAAAACAGTAAAAATACTAAATCGGATAAAAATAAGAATGAAAAAAATGATGAAAATGTTAACCTACATGAAAACAGTTATTTTACTAATAGAAATTCAAGTGATGAATTAAAATTATCCGAATCTTCCAATGATTCAGGCACTGTGAATTATTTTTCTTCAGAAGCTAGTGTTACACATCATGTTTCAGTTGAATCAGATGATTCCAATAATATAAAAGATAAAATATGTGGTGAAAATTCTCATCATAAAAAAAATATATTGGATAAAAATAAAATGAAGACAAAAGAAAAAATTAAAGCATCAACAATAACAGGATCAACGACAGTTTCATCACCAGCAACGTCAACGATATCTACTCCAATAAAAAAAATAGATGAAGATACAGAAGAAGAAAAAAAAGATGAAGATGAAGAGGAAGAAGAAGAAGAACGAAAACAAAAAGAGAAAGATGAAGAAGAAAATTTTACAAAATCATTTGAAAATATGTTATATAATTACAAAAATAACATTAATTTAGGTGATTCTGAAAGCGATGAAGATGAAGAAAATGGAGAAAAAAAGAATGAACAGAAATTTGTTAAAAACATTATTGATAAAATAAAAAGTAGTTTACTTCGTTTTGTTAAAAAAATCAATTTTTCTCCTATTACTTGGACTTTGAAATTTGAAGTTGGATGGGATATTAATTTTTTTCCTTATCCCATTGATTTTTTAACTTACTTAAAATCAGAAATTTCGAAAGAAACATTATACAAAGTAAAGGATTTAAATAATCCAAAAATATTAAAAGGAAAAGATATAACTCATAGCGGTTCAGAATATGAGTTACAAATAGAAGGAAAAAACATATACAAATTATATAATATTAAAGATAAATATATTGATAAAACAAAACTATATTGCAATGATATTTATGCAATAGTAAAAACTTATGGTATTGAAGCAGGCAGATTATGTATAACAAAAGAATTGAAAAAAGTTTTCGATGCATATGGTATTAAAATTGATTTTAGGCATTTGTCATTTATAAGTGATTTTATGACTCATACAGGTAAAAAAAAAAAAAAAAAAAAAAAAAAAAAAAATAATAATAACAAATAAAAATAATTGTATAGCATTATATAAATATATACAAATATAATTAATTTATATTTTTTTTTTTCACATATTTTTATGTAAAATTATTTAAATTATTCTCTTTTTTGTGTTTTTATTTTATTTTATTTTTATTTTATTTTTTTTTTTCTCTCCTTTATGACATCTATTTTATTATTTTTTTTTTTTTTTTAATATGATTTTTCCTTATTTTTTTAAAGGTGATTTGAAAGCATTTAATAGACATGGAATGGGGAATTTTCGAAATGTTCTTCATAAAATGAGTTTCGAGTGTGCAACAAATTTTTTAATACAGGGATGCGTACATAAATCAATTGGTAAAAAAAGAAAAAAAAAAAATAATTCATTTTCTTTTATAAATATATATATATATATATATATATATATATACATGTTATATATATGTTAAATTGTCCATTTAAACATTACATTATAAATTTTTTGTACATAAACTGTATTACTATAGTGTATATCTCACATTTTCTTTTTCTTTTTCTTTTTTTTTTCATTTATGCAAATGTTTTTTTTTTTTTTTTTATATATGTATAATTTTTTCTCTATATTTATTATTCTTTTATCTTTTTTTATAGATCATTTATCAACAGCATCAAGTAGTTTATTCTTTGGAAAACACATAAAAGTAGGTACCAACCTAGCTGATGTTATAACATGCATAGGAAAGTAAATGTATTTTAATATAAAATAAAATTTTTTAAAATTTTTTTTAATATTTTGTAATATAATTATAATATTATTACTTTTTTTTTTTTTATTATTTTATTTCTTTTTTATTTTGATTTTGATTTTTATTTTTTTTTTTTATTTCTTCTTTTTCTTCTTTTTATATATGCAACAAAATTTTTATAAAGATAAATTAAAAAATTTTATTTATCCTTTTTTTAATAATATTCAATTTAAATGAAACTCACTTTATAAACTGCATAATTAACAACAAAACATTTTTCTTAATTATCTTTTTAAAACAGTAAAACTTATAAAAAAAAATATAATATAAAATTAAACAAGATTATACTATTAAATTTTCAATATATATATATATTTTTCTTCATTCATAGAAATTTATATTTAAATCAAAAATATTATTTTTAATACTATAATGAAAATATGATATAATTTTTAAACATAAAAAAATATAAAAAAATTCTAAAAGGGAAATTTGTTATAATAGTTTAATTATTTTATTAATACATTATATTTTTATGTATCTAAAACATCTATATCTTAGATTAACTTTTTATGTAGCACATAGTTTAGCAGTTTTTTTTTTTTTTTTTTTTTTTCTCTTATATTTTTTAATATTTATAATTATATATATATATTTTTTTCTATAATTTTGAAAAAATTTTAAATATAAACATTTAGATTATATATTTTATATCCATTTATATTATTAACAAAATATTTGATTTAATATAGAAATTAACCTTGAAGAAAAACTAATAGACGCAAAAAAAAAAAAAAAAATAAAAAATGTAAGTTCAGATTGAAAAAAAGGATTTTAATATATATTTGAAATGGAATAAAAATAAAATAATTTAACATTGGAAAAAAGATAAACCTCTTTTTTTAATTTTTATGACTTAGAATTAAGAATTAAGAAATCTTAGTCATAAAATAAAGCGAAATGAGTGAAAGAGATGGGGAAATTCATAAGGAATATAAGGAGGAAAATATATTAGATGATAAAGAAAAAGAGTTTAGAGGTAACCAAAATGAACTAAATGAAAATGATACTAAAAATAAAAGTGACAGAACTTATATAGATCCTAAAATGTATAATAAATTCAAGAATGATGGTTCTTTTTTAGAACAGGTTTTCATATTGCTGAAGTTTTTTTTAAATTAAATAAAAATTATATAACTTATTCTTCTTACCTTTCCAATTTATCCATACTTATTTTTTTCATAATTCTTTTTTGTGCCATATTCATAAAGAAATAATTAAATTTATTTATTTTTTTTTTTTTTTTTCCTTTTATATTTAGGTATTAGCACTACAAAAAGAAAAAAAAGTAAGAAAATCAAAAACATCAGAAAACTCAGAACCAAAAAAAAAAAAAACAAAAAAAAAGGATGTGGAAGAAAAAAAGGAAAAATCATTAGATTCTAATGTGAAGGACGAACAAGATGATGTTGAAGATGAAAGAGAAACACAAATTAAAAATGAATATATTGAAAAAATAAATAAAATGAAGGAACAAGGATTTTTCACTGATAAGGGAATAGGAGCAGGATTAGTTAAATAAAAAAGAAAAAAAAAAAAAATAGAAGTAAAAATAGAAATTATTTTTTCTTTTTAAAATTTTAAAATAATTAATTTTAATAAGTATTATTTTAATTTTTTTTTTCTTTCATAAATCATTTTCATTCTGTAAATCTTTTTCTTAAAAGGTAATATTTAGAAACTGTTAAAATCTCAATATTTTTTAAAGAAATTTTTAAAAAAATAATTTTCAACATGATAAATCTGTTTCGTTAAAAAAATACTCCTATTTATTTTTTTTCTTGTTTATTCTTTTTTTTTTTTTTTTTTTTTTTTTTTTGTTTATATGGTAGTTGTTAAATTTCTCTTTTAATATTCCATATAAGATATTGCATATTTTTATTTTTGCTCGAATTTACTTTAAAAATATTTATTAGAATAATAAACTAATAATAAAAATTAATCATATTTTATTATATTTTATATATTTATATATTGAGGTATATAAAAAATGATTAATCTTAGAAAAAAAATGCCAAAAGAAAAAGATTTTTCTTCTAAAATTTTCTTAATAATTGTTTTTTCTTTTCTCATAACTTATTTTTTTTTTAAAGTAAAATTAAAGAGAGAATAAAACCAGTAGTATCTTTATTACAGAAAACTAATAGTATAATGGATAATAAAAATATAAATGTATTATATATAATAATACTGAAGTGAAAATAATTAATTTTTTATATTTTTTATTTTTTTTATCATTATTTTATATATTTATATTAATTATATTTAATTTTTTTATAATTTTGTATACATATATATATATGTTTTTTTATTTATATATTTGTTGTTTTTAAGTTTGTCTATTTTTCATTTTATTATATCGTCATATTTCTTTATATTAGTTCCTTTTTTTTTTTTTTTTTAAAGTAATTATATTTTTCATCAATATTTCTTTTTCTTTTTCCTTCTCTTTTTATTTTTATTTTTATTTTTTTTGTTCTTGTCTTAAAAATTTTTTAAGATTATAATTTTTATTCAAATAATCAAAATTTAAATAAAAGTAAATTATTTATTTACACTTTTTCACTTTTCTTTAATAAAAAAGTATGAAATTTTTCCCTTAAATTTTTATATTTTTCTATTTTTTTTTTTTCAAATATTTTTTTAAGTTCATTTTCTTCCTTTAAACCTTTTTTTAAAAATATTTGTGCCAAACAAATATCTTCTTTTTTTATTTTCTTGTCGTCAAGAAACACTAAACGGGGGATATCTGCGTATAATATAAATATATATTGTTATTATTATTAAGTAAAATTTTTTTTTCATTGTTTTGAATTTAGTAAATTTAGTTCATACTTGCAATCAAGTATTTTGAAACATATTTAATTTCATTTGTGAATGGATTATTTTTTATAAATAACGTTCTTAATTTTTTTATTTTTTTAATTAGTATAATGAACTCGCATAAAAAGGAAAATTTCTTTTTAGTTACTGAATCCATTTCTTCTATTTTCTGATGATACTTTATAGAATCAGAATTTTCATTTATATTTAATTCTTCATCAAAATTTTTATAAAAACTAAAAAAATCAATTTCTTTGTTTCCATTACCAATAGACTTCATTGTATTTTCTTTTTTTATTTCTGATGTACTTTGTTTTTCAACATAACTATCTATGAATTTTTCGCAGTCAGATATACTTGATATTTCATATTTACTACTGAAACTTATATTATTACCAGAAATATCTAAATGGGAAAGATTTTGAAGTTCACTAACCTCTTCAAGATCCTTAAAAAAAAATAAAAATACATTTTTTAAAACATTTAAAAAAAAAATAAGCGAAAAAATATAAAAAGAAAATTTAAAGGAAATATTTAGTATTACTATAATATTTTCAATTAAATTATTAGATATATTTAAGGTTTGTAACAATTTTAAATGCTTTAAATTTTTAATTGTTTTTATTTTATTATTAGACAAATTTAAAATTATTAAGGAACTACATTCAATATTTTCAATAGTGCTTATATCATTGTTTTGTAAATATCTGAATTTAATATAAACCAATAAAGGTTAAAAAAATAAACATATAAAATATATAAATATATATATATATATATATATTAAAACGTTATTACTTCTTTCTATATTATTATTGTTATAAATAATCTAATGAAAATTAAAGCATATATACATTACACTACTAATATATAATATATCATTATAAATGCAATGATTATTACTACTTATTTTAATAGTTTTGTGTTTTTAACAAATTTCATTAATTCTACTACTAAATAATTATAATAAAAATACTGATATATTTATATTTTAATATAATGCTTTTTTTTTTTTTTTTTTTTTTTTTTTCTTATACAATGCTTTTAAATTTGTTAGACCATCTAAATTTTGTATTTTTTTAATACAATTATTATTTATATATAAACATTTTAAATTTTTAAATGTTGATAATCCATCTATATTATGGAACCCTTTCATATGTAAATACAAAACATTATTTAATTCATCAGTTTCATATAAATTATTTTCTATAAGTTAAAAAAAAAAAAATATTTATTCATTCATATTAGCTAATTTTAAATTCTTTATAATTTTGATGAAATTATGATAAAAGAAAATTTTAACCTCTACATATTTTTTTAATAATTTTGTAATTCATTATCTTTTTATCATCTAGAATTATATTATTTTCCTCCATTTTGTTATATATTAAGTTTTTTTTTTTTTTTTTATATAAATAATTATTTAAAATGGATTTAATAAACTCTTAGAATTTTACTTAATGAACAAGGATAAATTATTAGTTATATCAATGTGTGAAATAATATATATAGCTATATCTTTTTTTTGTTCTCATTTATATACATGTTAATTCACTTATAAATTACATTACAGTCACACAATAACAATTAATAGAAAAAAAAAAAAATAGAAAAGAAAAATTATTAACAGAATAAAAAATATTAATATAAATGTAAATCTAGTATATTTGTAAAATATGGAAAATGTATAAAAATTTAAACTTTTTAAAAATAAAATATAGACAAATAATTTGAGAAATTTCTATAAAAAGAAGAGATTTATTTATTAAAAAAAAAAATAAATAAATAAATAAATAAATAAAGTATTCTTCTTGTTAGAATTTTTTTTTTTTTTTTATAGAAAAAAAAAATAATATATAAAAAACGGCTCGTTTATATTCAAATATTTTCATACATTTTTCCTAACTAAAAATTTAAAAATATAAAATGAGAAATTTTTTTTTTTTTTTTTTTTTGCTAGTATTCATTTGTGTGCATATATTTTTTATTTGTTTATTTATTTTTTCTTTTAACATATATATATATATGTACATGTACATGTACATGTTTTTTATATTATTTATTCAAAAAAAAAAAAAATAGTAATTAATATTTTTTTTCCTCTTGAAATTTATTTGGGTTAAGAGTTATACATTTGGTTATATCATTTGTTTTGTAAATTCCTATCATTCTATCACATAATTCAAACATTTGATTTCTTAAAGAAATTACAATAAATTGAGCATCGCTAGTCTTTGTTTTAATATAATGAGAAATAATAGAGACATTTTTAAAGTCAAGAGCTGCATCAATTTCATCCATAAAATAAATAGGATTTGGTTTAAAATAATGAAGAGCAAAAACTAATGCTAATGAGCTTAAAGTTTTTTCTCCTCCTGATAAGTTTTGTATATGTTTCCAACTTTTTTTTGGGGGTCTAACTGAAAATAAAATTCCTTCATTAAAAATTTCTGAAGAATCAATTATTTCTAATTCAGCGTCACCACCTATTGCAATCATTTGATACATTTCTTTTAATTTAACTGAAATAATATTAAATGCTTTTAGAAATTCTTCTCTTCTTTTATTACATAAACTATCATACACTTTTTTAATTTTATCTTTTTCTTTTTTTGCCTTGTTTACATCTTTTCTTCTTTTTTTGTACTCATATAGTTTTAAATTATAATCTTGAAAAATTTTTAAGTTGGGTGCTTTCTTTTCTAGTATACATAATTTATTTTCAAGTTTTGATTCTATATCTTTTTTATTTAATGATTCTAATTCTTCATTACTTAAATTAATATTATCATATTCATTTTCTATTTCATTAAATTCTTTGTTATCACAAAAAATATCCTCTAATTCTTTTAATTCATCATCACCTTTTAATTTTTTTTTTTTTTTTTTTTTTTTTCTCGAACATTTTGAATTATTATTATCGTTTAATTTTCTTTTTTTGTTATATTCGTCATTAATATTACATAGCATTTTGTTATCTTCTTCATTATTTTCATTCCTATCACATTTAATATTATGATCCTCTTCTTTATTTTCTTCTTCTCTATCTTTCCTTTTTTCTTCCTTTTCGTCTTCTTCTTGGTCTTTCTTTTCATCTTCCTCTTCCTCTTCTTCATCATCTTCATCTTCTTCTTCTTCATCTTCTTCTTCTTCATCTTCCTCTTCTTCATCTTCCTCTTCATCTTCCTCTTCATCTTCCTCTTCTTCCTCATCCTCATCCTCATCCTCTTCCTTTTCATCTTTTCCATCTTCCTTATTTTTTTCGTCTTCATTTTCTTCAGTTTCCTCTTTGTTCTCACCTTTTTCTTCATTTTTTTTTTTTTTTTTGCTTAATAACTCATTTCCTTTTATATCACATATTAAATTTTCTTGTATAATCTTATCTGATTCCTTAATTAATTCCAAATATTCATTTATTTTCAATTCATAATGTTTATTTTTTGCCTTAAATTGTTCCATTTCCTTTTCAATATGCTCAATTTTATATACAATATCAACGTTTTCTAAATCCTTTTTAGATATACTTTCATCTATTTGCTGTTTTTTTTTTTGATTTTCTTCAATTTTTGTTTGCAGTTCATTTAAAATATTCGTTAACTTTTCAATTTCTTCGTACACTTCACATCCTTTCGTTTCAATACTTTTTAATTCATTCTCTAATTCTTTTTCATTGGCTTCATATTCTTCAATTTCCTCAGTGAATTTTAAAATATCTTTATCACTCTTTTCTAAATTGGCTAAAGCATTTACCTCTTCGTTATTATGTTTTTCTATTTCATCTTTTAATATATTTAATTGTCTTTCAGCATTTATATATTTACTTTTTAACTGTTTTTTTTTTTCTCCTCCAACATTTTGTAACTCTTCATAATACTTTTTTACTTTATTTTCTTGAGCTTTGAGAATAATTTCTATTTTACTTTTTTCGTTATTTTTTTCTTCTATTAATTCTTTTAATGATTTTAATTCTTTTTCTTCCTCTTCAGTTAATTTAGGGGTTTCCGAATTTTGTAATTGATCATCGATATCTTTTAGCTGTTTTTTATAATTATCTATTCTTTTTTTTGCTATTTCAATTTTACATTCATTATCTTCAATGAAAGTATTTAAATCTTTAATATCACTTAATAAAGAATTTTTGTTTTTTTTTTTTTCATCAATATTTTTATTTAATTCCTTAATAATTTTCTCTGAATTTAATAAATCGGTTTCATCATATTCACTAGTTTTAATACTACTAACATTTCCTTTTAAATGTTTATCTATTCCTCCTCCACATATCCTACCATCATTTTCTATTAATTCTCCATTTAATGTCACCACTCTTTTTTTATGAGAATAACCAATTACATGAGCTTCATCTAGATTATTTGCTAATAGTGTTTCTTTTAAAGCGTAATAAAAGCAAATTTTATATTTCTCATTTTTAAATTTAATAAAATCAATTAATCTATGCACATTTGGTAGAATAGGTTTATAATTTTCCTCATTTTTTATCATTACGTTCAATAAATTTTTTTCTAAGATTGATAAAGATAACACATTTACTCTTCCTAAATTTTCTTTTCTAACTTCTTCAAATAATAAAACGGCATCATTTGGATTTTCTACAACAATCAAATCAGAGCAATTATTTCCTGCTATAATAAAAGCTTTTTCATATTTTTTATCAATATATCCTAAATCCCCTAACATTCCATGAATTCCTTTAATTTTCGTTTTTTTTAAATTATATATAAATTCATGTAATTTGTTTTTAGTTTTATCTGTGATTACTTCTTTTTTTATAGTTTCATATTTTACATTTTCTTGTATTAACTTGTCATTTAATTTCTCTATATTTTTTTCTAATAGATCTAAATCATTCTGCTTTTCCTTTAATACTTTTTTTTTTTCTTCATCTAATTTTATCATATGTTTTGACTGTATATCCTTTTCTTTTAATTCATTTAATATTTTACTTTGAAGATATTTTAAATTTTCAATATGAGTTAAGTATTCCTTCTGTTTTTTTTCAATGATATTACATTTATTAGTGCATTCTGAAATGCTTTTTATTAAAATATCATAACTATTTTGTAAAGGAGCTAATTTTTTTTCTTCATTAGAATATATTGTATTAATCTGATCTGTTTCATGTTTTATTTCTTCATTATATTTTTCTAATTCTTCTTCACATATTTCTAATTCCTTTTCCAATGTTGGCAATTTATTTTTTTTTATTTCACTCAATACTTTTTGTTTTTCTTCTATAATTTTTTTATATAACGGAATTTTTTTTTCTTTTAATTCTTCTCTTTTCACGTATAAATTTTGCATTTTTTCTACAATAACTAATAATTCTTTTTTTATATTTTCATCTTCAGTTGTTAGTTTTTTAAATTCATTATCCGCTTTATTTTTTTTTCTCATAATGTCTTCTTCTTCATTTTCTAAATTACTTAAGGTAATATTCATATTTTTTCTATCTTCTAATAAATTCTTATATTCTTCATTATGATTATCTCTTTTTTCAATATAACTTTGAAGCTCTTTTTCTTTATTTTCTATAACTTTAGATGATTCATATTGATCTTTTTTATAAATAATAATATATAGTTTGTAAGTATATTTCTGCAAAGAAATAAAATATTTTGCTTCTTTTTTTGGTGCTGATAATTCTTTTAATTCGTTGTATACATGTTTAAGTCTATTAACTTTTTCATGATAATTTTCTTCACTTTTTTCTAATTTTTCAAAATTTTCATTAATTTTTTCAATATATATATTTGTTCCAATAATATCTTCTAAATATTCTAATAATCCTTCTTCATTTTTATTTCCTTTTGGATTCATTTGAGCAATTTGTTCTACTTCTCCTTGTAAAATTAGGAATCTATTATTATTTAAATCAATTCCTTTTTTATATAACAAATCAACAACTTCTTTTTGATTAACTACTTTGTCATTTATTCTATATTTCGATTGATTATCGATAGTAGCTTCCCTACTAATAATGAAATTATCAAAGTTTTTTTCATTATCATAAGTGTTATCATATTCTACTTCCTTTTCACAATCATCGTCATTTTCATCAATAGTTTTAAAATAAATTGATACTTTTGTATAATTATTATTCATTGAATATTTTGAATTATGTATAAGATCACTTAATTTATTTTGTCTTATTTTTTTTGCTCTTCTACCAAATACAAAAAGCATAGCATCAATTATGTTACTTTTACCACTACCATTCGGTCCAACTATACAACTAAACTTTTTATAAAATGGACCAATTACTTTTATACCTGAATAGCTTTTAAAATTTTCTAATACTAATTTTTCAATTATTATTCTTTTACTACTTTTTTTAATATTATTAACACTTAAAATATTTTCATTTTCTCCCTTTTCTTCTATCTTACTTAATTCATTTCCTTTTTCTTCTGTATTTAATATACTTAGAATGTTCATATCATCTTTTTGTTCCTCATTTATATAAATATTTCCATTTAATTTTATATCATCTTTCATTTTTGTTATCTTTTTTTTTTTTTTTTTTTTTAAAATACATACATTTGCTAATATATACTTTTTTAATTATATAAAACATATGTATACCTGTCTATTATGACAAGTATCTTCTTTTAAAATATTTTATAATATTTCTAAAATTAATACATTTGCTTATTTAATTCTTTTTTTTATTATTTTTTTTTTTTTTTGTAATTATTTTACAAAACTTATAAATAATTTATTAAATTTTTTAAATCATAATTTTATTATAAATATTTCTTATTATTAAAATTTTTTTTTTTTTTAATTAATTAAAATTACTTTCATTTACATTATTTTCTACATATTTATATATGGAAATATTTTTATATTTATTTATATTTTCTTCATTTCATTTTTTGTGTGCACCTTTTATCTTTATATAATTATACACATTTATATATTTAAATTTAGGTATTTTCTTTAATATATCAATTACTGTATTTTTTTTTTAATTTTTTCTTATAGAATTTATAATCATATGTATTCATGTATGTTTTTTGTATTGCTCTTCTTTATTTTATTGTCTTCTATAATTTATCAAAAGTTCTTCCAGTATTTCTTCTCTAATATATTTTTTTTTATTTTTATTTACATCTGTAAATAAAAAAAAAAATAATAAATAATTAAAAACTTGTAAAATTTAGCTAAAAAAATATATTGCTATTATATTAAAAAAAACAAAAATATGCAAGATTTTATCCATATTTTTAGTTAAAATAAATCTTAAAACAATTTTGAAATTAAAAAAAAAAAAATAAAATAAAATAATAAAAAAGATTAATATGTTGTATATTAACAATTTCCTTTTTAATAATTAGAAATTTTTTTAACTTTGTTTTTTTTTTTTTTTCTGTTTTTTTTGAAAAATATACTTTATGATACATTTAAACTTTTATATTATTTGATTTTATATACAATGTTAAGTTTTTAAAGATTATAAGAAGAATAACATTAAAAAAA